TTACCGTGGTGCGATGGTTTGTGTGCCTCAATGATCCACTGAGCTACGCTGGGTGGTGCAACTTTTGTACCTACGGAGCCACTCATACCAGCTTGGTCAATAGCTAGAGGCCGGAAATCCTCATTCTCCTGGTCATTCAGCTTGGGGGTTGGAATGAGGACGGCTCCTTAATGGAGGTATTTGTGTGTTGCTCTTCCCAACCCCGGCTCTTTATTCCTTATAAAGGGCTCCTTGTAATCCAACACCAAACCCGCTGGCTTGCGGTAAGGTTTTGGACCAAATTCTTTGGTTGAGAACTCTAATCGTTCTCCTGTCTAGACCAACTGCACTACCAACTGCAGCGATGATTTGGTAAAAGACGGCTTCTAAAGCCGACTGACCAGTTTCTGCTCCACAGAAGAAGCACGGACACTGTTGTGCTGCCTGGGCATCAGAACGCACAAGTTGGAAAATGATCCACGGATGAAATGCATCTGCGTAGTCAGCACGGTGTAGGCTCCCGTAATGATAACGGTGAGCGGTTACTTCATTTGTATGAAGATGCCCACTTATTTCCTGCGAGTACTAATTTCCGACACAGCACTCCCCGATGGGTGACTTGGCGCTCAGCAGCCTCGAACCAGCCTTGGAGGCAAATCGATCACATTGCAATCAGTTACCGCTGGGGAGGCTGCATCCAAAACTGTCGCTCGATTTGCAGCACAGGTCTAGGCACGGATAATGCATTTGTATGTGCTGACATGCGCATGAGTTTTGACGGACGCCTACCACGACACTGGGAGCGCATTGACCTCAGCCAACTGAAAAAACCAGCTGTTTTGAATGCCTATCAAATTACACTGACATGCGAGTTGAGTAAGCGCTCACTGGAAACAATTGAAGGTCACTGATGGCATGTTCACCAGACCTTACTAGAAACAGATAAATCCTCATGTGATAAGTCTAATAGCCAACATGGACATTTGGTGCATTCGCGATCTCTGGACCTTATCGATGCTCGCCTGCATATCTCGGCTGGAAGCAAACACAATAAAACTCACAAACAGCTCCGGGCAAGACTCCGTTCTAGCCTGAAGAGAGACCGCGAATCCTGGTGGTTTCATCGTACGTCAGACATGGAAGTGGCCACTGCCATTGCTAACCATCGCAAGTTTTGCCATCTGATACGGGAAACGGGAAGCAAAATAACTGGTGTCAGTGAAACTATACGTAATGATCTCATTTCCTAGCGTATTATAATTTTATATAATAATTTTTCTTCTTTCCTAGTAGCCGGCTAGTAGATTTCCGGTACGAAGCCCATCCGATACTGGTAGCTCAGCTGGCATGCAACAGCTGTATTTAGTTTCTTTTTATTTTATGTAATGCGACACAGTAGCTGAGGTGCTTCACACCTTTGGCTAACGTGTATAATGATAATGATGACAGAAGCTTTTAGTTAATACAAACTTTCCGCTAGATGCTGCTGGTGTACTAATTTGTTCTCGCGCACAATAGTTGTACAGTGATTACGGTGCACCATTTAGTTACTCTATTTGTCAGGTCTAGGGTTCGCTCTATGCACATGCCACGTAGCGTAAATAAATGTCATGAGTTTTCGGGTTCTGCTCCGAATGAATGATTGTGCCCTTGCAAAACGAAGGAGCTTATTGACAGATGCAGATGCAAGCAGATCACTGAAATTGACAGTAAAATTCAACAAAGTATTTTAATGGAACATTCGTCCGGGATCTCCCAGCTGGCATCTCCCACAAGTTCTTCCAGTGTGTCGTAGCGGGTGATTGCTCGAAACAAGTTAGTATGTTCTTGTGGATACTCCGCATAACACACAAAGTCGTAAATCATGGTTACGTGGTCGCTCCGCCCAAGTGGGCTCTCCATCATAGGTTATCTAACCATGAGCTCTTCGTTAGCGAGCACTAAATCAAACAAAGTTGATTTGTTTTCGGCTCTGAATCGGTTGGGTGAACCGTCATGGCTGAAGAGCGGATTGCTTGCAATATGCTCTTGCAAGTTGGCCTTAAACTGCTACTTGAGGGTGCCGAAAATTGCAAATCTGAATATTGCGCTCACCTGAGATGAGAACATGACTGTATCGTCTTCGTAGGACCAATGCCATGCATGATACCAGGCGGTTGTCTATCTATGCGGTGCATATTGGGGAAAATAAACAATGGCCAAATGACGAGTGTCGTTGCGTCTCAGTCGCAGAGTACACCAGCGCTTCCGGATCGGTCACCGGTTTGCACTGCAGGTCGTTGCGGTAATATAACATCTCCCGGCTTTGGTAAGTCCGTCGTTTGAGGGAAGAGACATACCATTTACCGCGACTTCGGCATCGGTAATTTCTGAGTGCAACCAGGTTTCCGTAACGAAGTTAAATCCCAGGCATGTGACATTTGAAGTAACCGCAGTATATCTTTGCATTGGTGTACATGCAGGAAGTTACTCTGTATTTAGCAATGACTCGTGGGATGCGTGTATGGGAAAACATGTTCTGCCGAACGATGAAAGATTGGCAACTAATCCTGTTTTGGATGGGTGATGACAAGATCATCTGTGTCCGATTCATGACTCCTAGCATCACCTATTTGCTTTTCTCTTTCTATGTAATGTATGAAGAGTTTTTGCCAGTTTCGTTGACTACTTGATTGAAGTTATCCGAACTCTTGTAGGTAAGTGGTCTGACTAAGTGGCTGTTCGCGTGTGTTTGCTTATCAGATGGTGCGTTGATCCCGAGCTCAGAAGAAAGGCTGCTGCGGCCCGCATACCAACCCTCTACTACCACTGCAGACATTTGTCTAGATCGAATTACCAACCTCAGAATCCTCGGGTCACATCACTTGTAGTTTGTCGATCGGCGCCGCCTTGAGATTGATTACGCTATGAAGATCTCCAGGGAGAGGGTACCGCGAATGTACCGCCATTTTGCGTGACGTGATTGGTCGCTTCGTGGTCATCACGATTTGCAGCCTCGGGAACTCCGTGTACAATGATGGTTCTGGTTACGGATTTCCTTCGGTTTCCGTCCAAGTAGTGCTTCGCCTGTCTACGCTCGATCTACGGATTATCCAGCAATAGGCGGATGGAACGTGACTCATTCCGGAAGCAAGCTGTGGATAACAGGACAGCTTCTGCTTCAGTGGCAGTGGTCGAAAAAATGGAGAAGCCTTGCTTCACCTTCGTGACATGAGTTTGAGTGACGGCTAACGCGTGTCAAATTGACGAGCTTAATTGAAACATCCATAGTGTCACATATTAAGTTCCACTGGTTCACGTCATCCAGTTGTATTCCTTTTAAATAATTGGACTTACATTCTCTTCGTTTGGTGCCAGCTACTGCTGATATACTACGTGCAACTCTGGCTGAGGAAAAACCACCAGCTGGTCAGAATATAGTCGAGGGTGTCTGTTTGGATACAGCTTCGTCCGTGTTGGACCGGTTACGTGAAGTATGAAAGAGAAAATAGTAAACTCAAAGGGCAAGAGGAGAAAGAGGAAAGTGCTAAGCAATTAGAATATCCTGCTTTTAGAGTCATTAAAAAGGAACCGAAAGTTAAAGCTGAGTCAGTTAAGAAAAAGGAATGTGTTGGTGTTGCAAACCAAACGCATCGAGCTGACGCGCAAAACCCTTAACTATTAACTGCCTAACCACATGATCTGGAAAGGAATTCCAGCGTCCTATAACTCGGTGCGACAGACGTGTTTCCGTCCCAAGCCACTCAGACCGTGGTTTATGCAGCTTCTGTGAGTGACCGTGGAGAATAGGTAACTTGGCGGGACTAAATATCTAGGAATAGTCCGGGCCGATCTTGCCCGTCAAAGTACGATAAGTGAGAATCAAGTCCCCACTTCTCCTTCGGTAGCGCATGGAATACATCCTTAAACTAAGCAAGCGTTCAAGATACGTCTGTCCCCGTGAACCCAGCATTAACCTATACCCACTCCTAATACCCTCTCTAAGTCCATTATGTCTTGGATAAGATGTGATAGACAGGCCTGGATACATTATTCCAAGTGGGGTCGTACGAAAGCCGCGAATAGCTTCACAAACGAATTGGCCATTAGGACACTAAAATAACAGCGGATCAACCACATCATGCGAAATCCCCGACAAGCAGCCTTCTTCCACTTGCTGCCAGTATGGAGGGCTAGTGAGTGGACGACACATGAACCAACCTGCAGGGTAACAAAAGGGAGTTTACCACAGCCGACAACATATGGTGTGGGACGATTCCCAGTTCCCATTCAGAGAACAGAGGTGTTTCCCTATTCCTGATCATCAACCTTAAGGTATACCATTCTCAAAGCCCATACAAGGCACACGGAATTGGTTCAGGATCCCCCGGGATATTCACAATATTTCAGAGATAAAGGTCGTCACCAAATAATACCGAGAAGCCTCCAATTGCCCCCGTCAAGTCATTTACGTAGATCACTTGTGACAATGGCCCCAAAACGAACCCTGCATGATGCCCCTAAGGACAGCTTGCCTAAGCGCAATGCTACACCCTAGGCTACAAACCGTGCCCCCCCCCATTCAGAAAGGCAGAGGTGTTGCTATTCAGTAAATATCTAAACTATGTGATTTTACTTGTTGCACATCGCACAGATTTTATTCCATCCCAGCTTAATAGTGGCATGGAATAAAGTAATAGATATTCCGTATTTCCTAACGTGTTTACTACATAAACAAGTACACTGACTCAGGTTCTGGTCAACTGCAAAGAAAAAACCAACACACTGTATGAGCGTTAAACTAAGGTCATTGCGATGTTAGTTCCTTTGTCTAACAACTAGTGAAATATGTTTCTGTGGACACAATCGTTTTCAAACTTGCATGCAAGGTAGCCAATCAACCCACAAGCCTGGACAACAACATTTATGCTTATGCTTCCATTGGTCGCCATCTGGGATGGACGTCAAAGAAAAAGTATTAAAATGTAGCATTTTGGTGTTCTGGTAAGAATTAATAATCCAGGAGTCGGATTGCGTTTTCAATGGCTATGCGTGCCATCTTTCTGCTGGTATGTTGGTACAACGAGATATATTTTGCATAAATGAGTAGCACGTACTTTATCAAGAATTCACAATTGATGCACATAGATCAGACCAATGTTCGTCACGAAGATAAGTGCATAGCACCCATAGTGTACCTTGAACGCCAAGGATTTCAATATGCAGTTTCGTTGCTATTTTAATTTTTGCGTGAAAACGATTAGTTTTCTGTGCAAACCCAACCCTTTGCGGCAAGTTTTATAGAGATAAGCCGTGAATGAGTGGCAATGCACAGGATGAAGCAGACGCAATTGCCAAACGCACCCGAGGTGAAGTTCTAAATGGCGAATAACTACAATATTCATGTAGATATATATATATATATAAAGCATTCTACATTCCCTGAGGCTCTGTATCACTAGCTATGCACCTAAGTACAGTTTTATGAAGCTACACATCGTATTTGTGTACTGCAAATACTTTCGTTGCAATACCTGTATTGTGCGAACTGTCAAGTGATACCACATTCTAGCTGGGTCTTCTGCTGACAAACGCCATGTGACACATGCTATGACTTGCTACGTGTGAGTTACACGATTGTCCATTATACCAAGTGCAGAATTCTACCTAGTTGATCCTTTGTATTCGAGTCATATTATAATTCGTAATACGACTGTTAGATCTGAAGCGGAAGTGAAAATGGAACGATGATACTCAGGGAGGTGTTTCAGTAAAATAGTGTGTACATCAGCAGATAAATCGTCACTGATCGCCCAGCCTGGGTGGTCAAATGAGGGCCAAAGTATTGGTAAGAAATCGGTGGAGTTCAGATAAAAACATCGTTAAAATTCTTGCATTAACCGTATAGTTTGATGGCATAATTCAACTGAAGCTCTTTCGCTTAACTAAAGTTCCGATTAGAAAGTCAAACTAAAAGAGTACTAAATTCAACCCCGATTTATCAATGTATAACGCCAAATCTTACGTATTAGCTGTATGCACATTACGACAATTTGTGTGCTTCTGTAAATGTGAAATTTAGCCCCGAACTACCCAATAGAGTGAAGGTTTGTTTTCCACATAGTCCAATAACAATGCCTTTTCTGCAATGTTCTTATCAACAGACAGTGTTCCTTCTGTTGTCGCAAAAGGAAATCAAGGCTCGGAGTCCTCAGACTAAGTGCAATGGAATCGCGGCATCGTACAACGCAAATTACGGACGTCATTGCGGAAACCCGCGATCAAGTAGCTGCGTTAATTATCTGCAAGCAATGACGCCTGTGTTTAAAGCATGCAGATTGCTGGGATAAGTGAAACACAATGTACTAGTACGAAACCTGTTTCACCTAAGCATTATAAAATTACGACGCAATAAAATTGCTACGGAAAAAATTCGCTGTTTTCAAGTGCGCGCTTACTGATCAGCAAGGTGTTTGACTATACAGAATAACGTATCCGCACTACGATTAAATGCATGCCGGAGCGCGATAAATAGGCTAAATGCAAGGTAACGTACAGTTAAAAGATGCAGTGCCATGCTTGGTACCAAAGAATCCCTATTAGCTCGAGGCTACCGGTCTGCAACCTCGCTAGCAACATACGTGCATACATGCATCTGGCAGCGTCAATATAATAATATTACCGAACTTTGTCTCTTTTATCACTTAATCAACTAAGGCATGGAATTGATGATATCCATCGTGTACAAACTGTGTTGAAAATATACAGATTTAACTGAACCGCCTCAGATTGATTTTGGGTAAGATACGATATCCAAAAATGAGGGTTCCGCTGTGAGAAATAGAGTCAATCAGAAAATATGCGTAATTCAATATAAAATAAAGAGCGTTAGATTACATGTCCGTACACGATCGGTAGCTTTGAGATGCGTCACCCACAGTGAACATTTACATCGTGGTTTTTCGTTAGAAACACTCGTATCATCGCTAGCGCGTCGTGTTTCCCACTTCCAAAAAGTGCGTTTAGTGAGCGTACTGTATCGTTCAACGTCAACATGCAAAACATCCTGGTAAAGTGTTAATGAATCAAAAGGTCAACGCAGGCGAGATACGTGTAGTGCGAGCTAGTGCAAATCAGACGTGAAATACAGAGCCGGCAAAAATATATGTGTATCATAGTGCTAAAGCAGGATAACATTAAGCACATTACCGTCGACTCCATGCCTCATACATTCAAAACGCGCAGCTAATTTGAATGGCTCACCAAATATTTCTACTACATTATACATAATTTTTTCTCGTTTATTCAGCCCATCGCCGATGGAGGCTAACGAACTTTGAGTCATCTTCCTGCAGCATGCATCTCGTAAAAAGCTTAAAAATGATATCATTCGCAAGGCTTAATTTGTGCCAAGTAACCTTACAACCGACCGGTTGTTCATAGGCAACGCCTCCCATGTGGAATTAGACGTTGTATTGTAGATACACGTAGGCGATACTATGTTGGAACTTCTCTCTAAACGCCAGAAACCGGATACATCTCGTCACAACACGTTTGGTAGAACAATATTAATTCGCTAGCTAGCCGTTGGTTAATTTCAACGTCTTCGCCCTCTTCACCGACTAAATACAGCTTACGTGCTGGACTCGGCAGCCGGCCGATGCTATCTTAGAGAACCATACCACAGATAAAACCGTTTGCTTTACGACAAGTATACGACATTTCACGCGTGAACGCAGCGCCATCGCGGAAGCACTTCAATCGGTTTATGTAATCTATGCCGACTCTGACACTGCCATCGACATGACTGCCATGGTCACCGAAAAACTGGATGACCCTGAAGTACATGTATTAATCTGGTCCTCTCCGCGGATCACCCGACCCGTTCCATTGAAATCATCGGATAAAACCATTATTTGAGACACATCGCTGGGTGCACCATAACCAGTCATACCATAAGAATTTCGACAGCGATTGTCAGATATGCTCCAAACGTTGTTTCACTATGCTTGCGCAGCGCTTACATTAATAGCCACACGTTGCTCTTGATGCAACGTTACTTGCGATTTCGCTAACTGGGCAGCTGCCTGCCTTCCGTGTGCAGGTACAAAAGGTAAAGCTTACAAGAAGCCCAGTGGACAAGCTTTTAACTCTAAATGCAGGTTGTTCTTGCGTGCACATCAAACTCCTAAATTCTTACAAGCTCCGAAATGATTGACACAACAACTGATTTACATCGAAGGATTCACGGTGCAACCGGGAGCTCTTCCATTGTAAATGATTTTCAGGAATGATAGCAAATGCAATTTTCATATGCAGTGGTGCGCTGTCATGACTATCAGGCGGCATGTACGTATCTAGTACAAAGTTTGTACGTTTATCTCTTTCTCTTGCCCTTGTAAAACGTTGTAAATGCAGATTTGGAAACCAGCGGCACTAGTCTACGCCTGCATAATGCCTTTGACCTGACAGCAGGTGGCACAGCGCTCTCCACTTCGTCCACCGATAAGGTATTTATACTGGTTGCTTAACTTACCAGATGCGTGAGACGTCTCTATGCGCCTAGCGACGGCAGTAAACGCAGATTTGATTCTAGTTTGAAACCTGGCGATGTATTTCATCGTGTAGACAGTCGTAATCAGTTGTAGCGCAGATACCATAACATTAGCACCGCCGTTTGTAGCCCTGTTGCGTGATAATTTAAAGTGTAACATCGAGGCGCGACGCCGCTGTTAAAATTTTTGCTGGTTAGAAAACTACCGTTGCAGTAGACAGCCGCCTCTTGATTTCATTCAATCCTCGATACTCCTAGCAAGCTAGGAAAACTGAATCACCATGCAAGCCGCAGTGACCGCATCATATGTACTGATGCTCACATACGTTTACATGGTGCAAAGCCTTTGGCATTACGCTGTAGTAGGCGCCCGTCAGCAGCATCTGCTTTCCAAGAAATCAATTTCATTAGAGCTGTTCTCCCACCAACCAAGGTTAACTGAATTACCCTACACATCGGAGCACCTTAGTCTCAGATGTGTTGTTATACACGTAACTACCTACTGATGTTCAGTAATAGTAGCAAAGACAATTTTCAACTGCTGTGTTGCGCCGTCGTGACTACCAGGCAGCATTTATGTATCTCGTTCAGATGTTGTATGTTTGTCTCGTTCTCTTTAGCTTGTAAAACCTTGCAGGTGCCGATTTCGAAACCAGCGCCACTAGTCTACGGCTGCATAATGCCGTTGGTCGGTAGCAATTGGCACAGCTCTCTTCACTTCGTCCATCGATAAGGAATTTATACTGGTTGCTTAAGTTACCAGACGCGTGAAACCTCTCTATGCGCTTATCGACGGCAGGAAAGGCGGGTGTGATCCTCAAAAAATTGTCAAATTTTTTAAAGTTATTGCTCCGTATTGACGGGTTTTGACAGCTTACGCAGTAGCGGTACCTCGGGCCGTAAATTGGCAACATCTCAGTGAATTTGGCCGGCGAACTATCTCTTACACAGTTAACGCGTAGGTTAGGCCTGACGTCCATTGAGCATAGGTGCTTCTGTCCACCGCGCATATATTTGTTAGCCCACGTATTCCAACCCTGCCTCGAAAGAAATTCGCCATGCTTATTTAAGTAATGCCACTCCCGTTGATTGAGAGTATGTCACATAGACGTCCAAACACATAAAATTATCGTCCTGTTAGTCACAAGTACTTCCCTTCACAAGTGATAGAGATATCAGTAGAGGAGGGAATGACAAGCATCCCATTGTATATCACCCACAACAATCCAACTCAACATATGTGTTGACCATCAAATTGCTATCATACAAAGTATTGTAGTTTTCGTAATGCACGTGATGCATATGGTCGGGAAAGGACAGTTAATTTTAGTCTAATTTTTGTTTGTTAATTTCAGCAACATTGACATTTTTTCATAAATGGGTTGTCTGTTTTATGGTTATGGCATCCGTATCCCAATACTGAAAATATCACCATGATTCTCCTGCGTTTGTGCCGGTTCTGTATATCACGTTTGATTTGCACTAACTCGCATTACACATATTTCGCCGGCGTTGACCTTTTGATTCATAAACACTTTACCAGAA